ACGGAGTTTTGGTTTAGAATGATGAAAGAGTTCTGGGAATGGGTAGTGGTGATGGCAGCACAACATGATGAAAGTACTTAAAACACCACTGAGTTGTGCACTTAAAAAAAAAAAGGGTTAAAATATTCCCCCCACCCCTACCACTGTTGCTGCGCAAAGTTAGCTGTGACATTTATTTTTTGTAGTTTTAAATTTGTTTCATTTTTTATAATTTATAAATAAAATTAGTCTGATAAACTTAAAAAATAGCAGGAAAATTTCTGGAGAGCTATTCAAATTTTTGGACACTAGTGTATTGTATATTTTCCTGTTCTGTTAAAGGATATCTCCCTAAAAACAAAAGAAATCTTCACCAACCTGGCTCCATTCTCAGAAGTTTCGGATGATGGAGAAAAGCGAGTGCTCAATTATGAGGCACTAAAGCAAAGACGGTTTCCTCCAGCCACAGAAAACTTCCTCTACCACCTAGCCGCCGCGGAGCAAATGCTGAAAATCTGACGGTGGGCAGAATGTATCACTGACTGATCTAAAGCCCTAGCACCACGATTATCCAATTAACTATGTAAAATACTGGAAATAACCAAGAAAATGTTATATTTTTAATGTTTTGTTTGAAAGCATTGTAATTTGACCTGAAAAAGCACTGAAACACACATGAAAACACTTCTGATTTCCTCCTATCTGATTAATTTCATGCCTACTTTCAATGTTTACAAAGTGCTGTAACCACCTATCTATGTAACTTTATAAAAGCCCGACATCCCTGGGTAAGAGCAGAGCAGCTCTGTCAAGTTCTCCTGCAAATCGCAGCAAATCTGAAGGCCTTCATTATTATAAGTTCCAGTTTATCTCATTGTGTAACCACAAACTAATGGTTTATTTTCAGAAAGCTGCCTGAACTTTTGCTTTGAATTCTTCTAGGAAGAACTTTCATTCCTCATGAGGAACTCTACTTTCTGAGCCAAACTACTAAGTTCTCTGCAGAACTGTCTAGAAGATCATTCAAAAGACCCTGCAGTTGCACTTTCTTGTAAAAGAATTTTTTTTCTTAGCCTCTGAATATTTTGCCTGTATTACAAGGGTTTTGCCTAGATTTTATACTTGAGTAGACAACTTTAATAATCCATATTTATACTGTCGCAGAGGTAAGCATTTGGCAAATTTAAGCCATGAGTACTCTTTAATTAACCTAGTTGCTAGCAATATTCTTTTGAAAAAAGAGGCTAGCCCTTATGTAGTAGCATAAGAGAAGAAGCCCATTTTGAATATAAATGTCTGTCTGACTGAAACAGCAACCGTATATAATTGGTGAGGGACTGTGAGAATTAATTTCTTGTAAAGGCCAAAACAAGAGAATGTCTTCAAACAACGTCAGTAAAAATAATTTGGCCACATGTGAAGGTATCCATTCTTGTTTAGTTAGGTACCATTTTCATAATTGGAGACCTGAAAATTGCAAAATGAGCATGGGGGTCTAAATTACGTTCTCGTTATATGTGTTCATATTAATTATGACAGGTTACTCTTTTCACTCAGTACTCTTGTCCTCAAAAATCTTAACCAGAAAAATGTTTGCAGAAAAACTTGTCTTTATTGGATCTTTCATTTAACCTGGGTGGTAGACATTTGTTAAGGAAAAAATTTTGAAACAGCCCCTTCTTGGGTGGGGGCAGGGGAGGATTTGAAGTGAAATGATGTTTACTGGGGCAAACAATTGAAAATTAAATCTGCACTTTATGAAAATGAATACTAACGTCTTTTTCACCCTCTTTTTTTTTTTTTTGTATTACTGTATTAGCTCATGATCAAAGCTGTTGAAATAACAAATTTATGATACAGAAATAAAGTGAAATATTTTGATATTCAGCACTTTCAGGCATAAATTGTGCCCTTTCTCCCCACTCCAGCCAAACGAAAGAAGAAACCCTCCCTGGCAAATGCAGACCCCTGGGGATTATCCAAAGGCCTATATGAATATTCAAGCAGTCTGGCTCCTCCCACCCTGGCTTGGCCCTTCTTTCCTTACCGGGTCCTCCTCCACGCCCCCTTGCTGGAGCTGACTCTAAGGTCCAAGTGTCATCTTCGAAAAGATGTCCTCCCATTACTACTGTATCATCCACCAGGGGCTGAATCTTCACTTGGAGCCTTTGCACACTTGTCATTTTGTTTAGTAGAAACTTGTGGCTACATGGACCTGACTGGTAGATCATTTTGACTGGTTTTGTCCTTCTAGGCTGTGGTGAAACGCCTTTTACCAAATTTGGAGATAACTGTCATTTTGTGACCTAGGGAAGACTGAAAGCCACAGGTGCAGTTTTTTTTAGATGTATTTTTGGCTGTGGTGGGTCTTCATCACTGCACGCAGGCTTTCTCTGGTTGCGGTGAGCAGAGGCTGCTCTTCATTGCTGCGTGAGGGTCTCTCACTGCGGTGACTTCTTGTGGAGCATGGGCTTGTAGGCGCACAGACTTCAGTAGTTTCAGCTTCAGGGCTCGAGAGCACAGGCCTAGTTGCTTCACAGCCTGTGGGATCTTCCCAGACCAGAGAGCAAACCGGTGTCCCTAGCACTGCAAGACAGCTTGTTAACCACTGGACCCCCAGGGAAGGCCCGCAGGTGCGTTCTGAGATGACTTGGGGCAGGGTGTGTTAGAAACACCCTCCATCCAGTACACAAACGTGAGTGCCTGCCTACACTGTGCACTGTGCATGATATCCTGGGGCTTCCTTGATGCCAGGACAGTGGTTCTCACTCTCAAGATGCACCAGCTGTGGGGGCATAGGGTCAGCAAACAGGCCATGGCATGGCCGTGTGGCAAATGCTAGGCGAGATAGGAGCGCTACGGGAACACACCGGAGGGGCGCCTAATTCAGTCCTGCGAATCCTGGAAGGCTCCCTGGAGAAAAGTGATTGACATCCAGGTCAGACTTGAAGCCCAGGGAGAGGTTAACCGGGAACAGAGGGAACAGCGTGTGGGAAGGCTCAGAGACACTGATGGACATCAGTCCAGAGTGATGAGCAGGAGTGGCAAGAGAGGAATAAAGTCTTCTACCTGCCGTGGCAAGGAATTTGGACTTGATCCTGGTGTACTGGGAGGCCATTTAAGGCTTTTAAGCAGGTGTGGTTTAGAAGAGCAGGCTGGAAATGGACTGATGCGCAGTACCAGCAGGGGATGCTGTTGGACTGCGCCGTGGTGGTGGTGGTGGACAGAGGGCTGCTGGGTCTACTAAATGGGGCGGGGGGAGGAGGGGAGCAAGGGTGATGCCAGTGGTCCTGACTAAGCCAGTAAGCGGCAGTGCCATTTCCTGAGACTGGGAGGGAAAGATGCTCCCAAATGTATGTCCGGATGGCAAAGTGCAGGAACAGCTGGACGTGGGCCTGTTGCTGAGGGGAGAGCCAGCCCCGCGACAGGGCTGCCCAGAGGGCAGTGGCCGTGTGAACAGCACTGGGGCACGGATGACAGCAGCCTTAGCAGTGGAAGGTGGGGTGGAGAGTGAGGGCAGAAAACTCTTTGCAAAACTTTGGCTACACAGAGGGGTGTTTGTTTTTTCATGAGCCAAGTGACTCATGCAGTTGAAATGCTCCTGGGGAGAAGCAGAGGAGGGAGGCTGAAGCCGGAGCGGGCAGTGAAGGCGCAGAGCAAGGCCACGAGGCAACAGGCAGAGTCGGTGGGGCCCAAGCCCAGGACACCGCTGATCATGCAGGGAGGAGGGGAGGCTGGGCGTGGGTGGACGGAGGTCAGCAAGCTTCCTGCCAGGAGGCCGAGAGCCTTGGCTTTCACCATGGAGGGCGAGAACGAGTCATCTGCCAGGGAGGAGAAAGGAGGAGCTGGGTAGCAGCTGGCAAAGGTTTTAAGCAGCTGTCCAAACAGGAGTAAGCTGAGAAGGGAAACACCATTGCTTTGGGGGTGGAAGGCCTTCACCCACTCCCCACCAGTGTACCTGGAGGTGGGCTGTGCGTTGGGCACGTGGACCTTTCTCCTTCGTTTTCAAATACTCAACTCTAGACAAGTTTATTGGTGATTTCACAGTATCCTTTCACAGGCTGACAGACAAATAGAAAACCGAATCTTATATCACGCACACATCCCCTTAGCAACCGCACGTGGTGGGTCAGACAGGACAGCCCCCCGTTTCTCTTCTTCCATCCAAGCCTGTTAACCCGAGGCAGGACCAGTCTTGTCAGGTGTCATCATAAGCCATCCTGTCGGCACAGACACCTCTGGGGATTCCAGGACCCTCCTGGCAGGTTCTTGAAACTGAAACCTTAGAGGAAGGTTTTCACGCAGGAACCAACCAAATGCAGCTAAAACGCACACCTACACCCCTCTGTTATAGAAGAGTTCTGTTTCTTCTGTTGCCGACTGAATTTCCTTTTCAAGCTCACTGCACTGTATCTAAAAAACAAAGTTAAATTCTTAATATGCATATTCAGTTTTTTTGCCTTAGAAGTTAAAATTTTTTTTTTCAGGAGTTTCCAGTGCTCTAGTGGTTAAGACATTAGGATTTGGAGCTTTCACAGCCAAGGGCCCCCGGGTTCAATCTCTGGTCGGGGAACCAAGATCCTGAAACCATGTAGTGTAGGAAAAAAAAAAAAAAAGCTCCTGGGGAGAAGCAGAGGAGGGAGGCTGAAGCCGGAGCGGGCAGTGAAGGCGCAGAGCAAGGCCACGAGGCAACAGGCAGAGTCGGTGGGGCCCAAGCCCAGGACACCGCTGATCATGCAGGGAGGAGGGGAGGCTGGGCGTGGGTGGACGGAGGTCAGCAAGCTTCCTGCCAGGAGGCCGAGAGCCTTGGCTTTCACCATGGAGGGCGAGAACGAGTCATCTGCCAGGGAGGAGAAAGGAGGAGCTGGGTAGCAGCTGGCAAAGGTTTTAAGCAGCTGTCCAAACAGGAGTAAGCTGAGAAGGGAAACACCATTGCTTTGGGGGTGGAAGGCCTTCACCCACTCCCCACCAGTGTACCTGGAGGTGGGCTGTGCGTTGGGCACGTGGACCTTTCTCCTTCGTTTTCAAATACTCAACTCTAGACAAGTTTATTGGTGATTTCACAGTATCCTTTCACAGGCTGACAGACAAATAGAAAACCGAATCTTATATCACGCACACATCCCCTTAGCAACCGCACGTGGTGGGTCAGACAGGACAGCCCCCCGTTTCTCTTCTTCCATCCAAGCCTGTTAACCCGAGGCAGGACCAGTCTTGTCAGGTGTCATCATAAGCCATCCTGTCGGCACAGACACCTCTGGGGATTCCAGGACCCTCCTGGCAGGTTCTTGAAACTGAAACCTTAGAGGAAGGTTTTCACGCAGGAACCAACCAAATGCAGCTAAAACGCACACCTACACCCCTCTGTTATAGAAGAGTTCTGTTTCTTCTGTTGCCGACTGAATTTCCTTTTCAAGCTCACTGCACTGTATCTAAAAAACAAAGTTAAATTCTTAATATGCATATTCAGTTTTTTTGCCTTAGAAGTTAAAATTTTTTTTTTCAGGAGTTTCCAGTGCTCTAGTGGTTAAGACATTAGGATTTGGAGCTTTCACAGCCAAGGGCCCCCGGGTTCAATCTCTGGTCGGGGAACCAAGATCCTGAAACCATGTAGTGTAGGAAAAAAAAAAAAAAACAGTTCAGAAAGCATCTATTTCAGTCCAATCTTTTCAGTGATGTCTTAAAAAAAAAAAAAAAATTAACCTGGAATTCACTGGCAGTTCAGTGGTTAGGACTCCATGTGGTCACTGCTGAGGGCCTAGGTTCAATCCCTGGTCAGGGAACTAAAATCCCACACATTGTGAGGCTTGCAGGATCTTAAGTTCCCTGATTAAGGGCTAAGCCTGGGCCCCTTGCATTGCAAGTTCAGAGTCCTAACTACGAGACCATTAGGAAAGTCCCTTAAAAACTTTCTTATGGAAAATTTCAAATATAAACAAATGCTGCGGCTCCCACAGTGTCTGAGGATGTACCCTGGGCAGGGCCCTGGCAGAACCTCTCAGCCCCGCACTCTATCTGCAGGCCACCCCAGTCAGGACAGGACCACCATTCAGCCACCTCATGCCCACCTTGGATCAACAAGTTATTTTAAACATCCAACAAATGCCAAGACTTGCTTGGTGGGGGTTGGAGGTCAGGGGGTGGTGATGGTGACAGCAACAAGCATTTCAGCCAAGAAATGCCGGAAATCAGTATCTACTACATCAGTCATGTCCTTGCTATCAGCAACAAGCCTTTGCAGAGGTATTATGACCTCCATCTGTCTTTAATAGAAACTAAGCCTCAGAGAGTTTAAGCAGATTGACCAGGGTCATGGATGAGCTGGGAATCTGAGTCCAGGCAGTCTGACTCATCACAGATTATAATATATCCTGCTCTATAGAGCAGCAGAGGCTCCCCAGGTGGCACTAGTGGTAAAGACTTCAAGTGGTAAAGAATCTATCTGCCAATGCAAGAGACAGACTCAGGTTTGATCAAGGTCAGGAAGATCCCCTGGAGTAGGAAATGGCAACCCACGCCAGCAGTCTTGCCTGGGAAATCCCATAGACAGAGAAGCCTGGTGGGCTACAGTACATGGGGCTGCAAAGAGTGGGACATGACTGAGCACGCACAGAACGGGTGTCACTGGCTGCATGTGAGCACTTAAAATTAAACAGATTAAAACTTCAGTCCCTCAGCCACACTAGCTATGTTTCCAGTGCTCAAAAGCCAGCTGTGATGAGGGACTGCACATACTGGACAACACATTACAACGTCTCCATCGCTGCGGAAAGCCCTATGGGATGGAGCGTCACTATAGTATCTTATGAAGCTTTAAACTATCTCAAAGTTTTTTTTTTTTTAATGTCCCAGAAAAACACTTCAGATACACAGTTAAGAAAAACAGAATCCAAAACTGTGCAAGTCATCTGCAGGGTGGGATTATGCGTAAAGGATGTTATTTTGTTTTATTCTTCTGTAAACTTGGCCCGATTTTTTTCAGAGAATGAGTTGCCTCACTCTGATAATGAGGAGAAGTGACACATTTTTTTTTTTAGAGGAAGTTGAAGGGGGACACTTACCCGTCTGATCTGTGGGAAGATGCTGAAGGAAACTGGCACCATCAATCCCATGACGAGGATCGTACAAGAAAACTTCAGGGTCCACAGTGACCATGGATTCTGCAGGAAAAACTGGGTCCTGTAAGAAAAAGGTACCAGGGCTTTTAAAATTAATTAAAAAAATTTTTTAAAAGATGGCTTACTTAAATTTTTATTTATATTTTTGGCCTCACCACAGAGTGCGTGGGGTCTCAGTTCCCCATCCAGGGATCGAACCCAGGCCACCTGCCATGGAAGCTTGGACGAAACCACTGGGCCACCAGGGATGTCCCTCCAGGGCTTTTTTAGAGGCCCGCCCTGGGCTCAAATGGCAGTCAATTGTTTTGTGAGCAGCCGCAGGCCTGGCCTCCATTCCTAATCACCCCACAACAGGTGATACCAGCAGCCGCACAGATGGAGCAGTCACTACATGTCAGGCCTGGGTCAAGCACTTCACATGCATTTGCTGACCTGCTATCCCCCGACCCTATGAGGTCTATGTTATCATCATCTCCTGCACACCAACAAGAGGACGCAGCCACATCTTCAAATTCTCAAAAGTGAGAGGTCAGATTCTAGGACCTGCGCCCTCCCCTGGACTGTGATGTTCTGACCCTGACCTCTGAGACTGTGGGAAGAAGGAGCAAGAAGCCCAGCCTGGGAAGCCAGAGATCTGGGGTCCTGGGGTCTGGCTGGGGCTCGGCCACTGACAGACCCTGTGCTCTCAGGTAAATTGCCTTCCCCTTCTGAGCCCTGAGATTTTTCAGAGGCAAAAATGAAAGGGTTGAATCAGAAGGGCCACTGCGGCCACTCCACCTGGGATACTGTCATGAGTGTGGGACGAGGTCCCTTCCAGACACCCCTAAGGCCCACCGGGAAATGAGGACCACCTCTCCCCACCAGGCAGGTGGTACCATTGTGCAGGCCTTGGAGGATGAACCTCTAGATCCCAGCTTTCCCAGTATCCCCCACGCTGAGGTCAGCCAGAGAAGAGCAGGGGGACCCAACCCTGGAGAAGTCCCCACACCCACACAGCTGGATCAACCATGGGAAGAAAGAGTTGGGCAGAACACTGCTGCTTCCTGAAATGCACTCTTTGTGTGGTTCAAGCAGAGGCTTTCTAGCTCAGCAGCCCAGACAGAGCAGGCTGGGCCAGCATCAGGCAGGTGACCCCTCCTGGACCAATAGGATCCTTTCCCAGGAGTTTGTGAACTGTGTGGAAGACACTCCCTACCCTCAACCCCCCAAGGTTTGCTGTGTTTTTCTCTCTCATCAAGACACTGTAAGGACTTCCCTAGTGGTCTAGTGATTAAGGGGCTTCCCAGGTGGCTCTAGTGCTAAAGAACCCGCCTGCCAATATAGGTTAGACATAAGAGACATGGGTTCAATCCTTGAGTTGGAAAGATCCCCTGGTGGAGGGCATGGCAACCCACTCCAGTATTCCACCTTCCAATGCAGCCGGTTTGATCCCTGGTTGGGGAATTAAGGTCCCATATGCTGTGGGGTATGGCCAAAAATTAAAAAAAAAAAAGACACTGCAAGGATACCAGCTGGGAGGTGGCCACAGTCACATGTCAACATGAAGAAGCCAATGTACAGAGGGAAAGGAGGAAGACAACAGCCACAAAGAAGAAGAGAGGACTGTCCTGCACAAGAGTTCTGATCAGCTGCCGCAGGCCACCCCGCCTGCCCCGTTCCTGGTATCTAAACCAACGCCTCTCCTCCTGCCCTAAGCTGCTTTCTGCAAGTGGGGCCTCTCATACTAGCTGACCCCAGGCTCTCCTCCTAACAGGCCATGGCAGGGATTTCCCTGGTTGTCCAGTGGTTAAGATGCAGTGCTCCCAATACAGGGGGCCAGGGTTTGATCTGTGGTTGAGGAATTAGATCCACAAGCCACAGCCAAAAGATCCGGCATGCCACAAGTAAGAGCTGGCACGGCCAAATGAATAAATATTAAAATAAAAAAATAAAGGAATGGCAGTCAACTGATTCTGGGCCACTTAAGCTAATTTAACACATGCTTGGAACGAAGAGGGGAAAGAGACTTGGGCAACATCCATAGCACATGAGAGCTGGGAAAGTAAAGTGAAAAAGTGAAAGTGTTAGCCACTCAGTCATGTCTGACTCTGTGTGACCCCATGGACTATAGCCTGCCAGGCTCTTTTCTGTTGCTGAAATTCTCCAGGCAAGAATACTGGAGTGAGTTGCCAGGCCCCGCAAATCCTCCAAACTCATCTTTCTATCAACAGAAATGAGGACTCGAGCCTCAGCAGGTGCAGGGACACGCCCAAGGAGTAACTGAGGACAGAGCCTGGGGGAGAGTCCAGGTTTGTTGGAATGTGCACATCAGGATTTCCACACCTGCCCTAAATCAATCCTACCATCTTAATGGTGATGAAGACTGTTTAGAAGAAAGATTCCTAAAGGACCTTCTTCCCATCCCGCTCATCAGATTCAGTATTTGACAAATTTTATACAGTTTTGATGGTCAACATGTTTATTCCTTCCTGGGGATATAAGCATACCTCTTACCTTTTAAAAAAGTATGCGAAGACTTCAGGAATAAACGCAGAGGTCCCAAACAGCACAACTCTGGATGTTGCTGTATCTCTAACGGCCTAGTGGAAAGGAAAAGAAAGCAGCTTAGCACATGGAGCAGGACGAGTTCCAGGGATCTTGCAGCTCATGACAGAGACTGGCAAACTGCCATTCTCCCCTCTCTGCACGTGCAAAGAGCTGGAAGCAGCGCTTGACCTGCACATGTACAGAAAATGCCTGGAGTTGGTGCCTGGAGTGACCGGAGATGAAAGTAACCTCTCCATGACTCCACAATGGTCTCCATCACTCCCACCAACCACCCCAAATAAAACATTAATTACAAGCAGAAGCAGCTGACAGACAAATCCTTACTTAGAACCAAATGGCAGTCCCTTTGCTAGAAAAGCTTGATTTACCACTGAGGACATCGCCACATTTTTCTTTCAGTCCAGGATTCTGCCACCCACCTTCCTCTCCTAAACCGCCCCCAGTTAATCCCACTCCTTCCAGTAGGGGAAGCCCAGCTCTCAGTGCACTGGCATGGCATCATGTCCGCATGTAACATGCATGAGTCTGCCTGCATGCTCCCATCTTTTGCTTGTGTGATGAACAGTGTATTATAAAATTGTATTTTGCATAAACATATATGTATAGTCTATACCATGTTGCCATCTTTTCTATAATATAAGTCACTCTCTATATTGAACCTTTAAACATACACTGACAGTACGGGTTATATGCACAAAATCACGTGTACTCAAGGGCAATATTGGAGATGTACAAGGGAAATTCTGACTATAGATGACACTTGCATTGGAACGTCAGAACCCGACCTCTGGGTAAGACACAACTCTACACGCTGAGTATAAGATAGACAGGCACTCTGCCCACCCTGCCCTCCCCTGAAATCTGTTCTGTGCACTTCCGGCCTCCTGTGACTCCGTGGATACAGCCCATCGTCCAGGCTTCTCTGCTGTGGCCCACGTGCCTGTTTTCTGCCTAGGACACTAATGCTCAGCTCATCTGATCCCCTGCAGGAATGCCCTTCCCCCACGAGGACAGAGGGCTGCAAGAAGGGTGTGGCTTCTAAAATAACCTTTCAGGAATACAAGATAAGGTCGCTCAAAGAAGAAAAGAGTGGTAGCTGAGCCTGAAGTGTTTCGGCGTCAGCAGTGCAAGGCCAGCCTCTCTCCATTTGTCTTGTGTGGAAGGGAAGACATTCCAAACCAGACACAGGTCATGAGACACTGCGAGATGCATGGCAGCCTGCAACTGAGTAGCCGACACAGCCAGGCAAAGGAAAACAGTGTGGACTAGGCTCCTGAAATCTAATCAAAGGTGCTCTATTACAATCAGATATTGCTGGTTACGCAGTTTCTGAAATTTTAGCTGAAGAAAAGAAATCTTCCGATGACAGGGAAGTGATAAAAGAATGACCACGCTTACGCACAGTCACAGACACTTTATTCTTAAGATCAACTTTTTTTTTAAGATCACCAAACCTTTCTTTCACCCTAAATTGGCCGTGTTGCAAACAAGGAAGCTCCTCTCAATAAGATGGGCTAGATAACTGGGTAGCTAGCAGGGCCCGAGGCTCCCTCCCAGCCCCTGGAGAGAAGCGATGCTGACCGGTGAGGGGTGGGTCTCCAGAGCCCAGCACAGCGCCGGAGAGGCGGGAGGTGCTGAAAAACAACTTGGGGATTAAACATTCGCTCTCGTGCTTCTCACCGTGCTCTGCAGTTAAAATTCATTTGAAGAAAAATGCCAACACACATCCACACACAGAGTTGTACGTACACAAGCGGTCAGAGTGGCATCAAGGACAACAGCCAGAAATTGGACACAATCCAAATGTCCATCGCCTGGGGAGCAGACAAGCAAAACGTGGTACAGTGGAAGACTACTCGGCAATAAAAAGCCACGCACCACCAGTGTGTTAAAAGATGAATGAACCTCAAAAGTCAAAGAGGCCAGACACAAAAATACTGTGAGTCACTCGTATGAAACTTCTAGAAAAGGCAAAACAATGAAGACATAAAGCAGATCAGTGTTTCCCTAGGGCTGCAGGTGGGAGGGGGAGTGACTGAAACAGAATTCTGTTTCACCCGACAGACTTTTCAGGGGGATGAAAATGTTCTAAAATCGGACTGTGGTGGGACTTGCCTGGTGGTCCAAGGGCTAAGACTGTCCTCCCAGTCTTGGTCAATCCCTGGTCAGGGAACTAGATCCCACAAGCTGCAACAAAGAGTTTCCGCGTGCCGCAACTAAGACCCAATACAGCCAAATAATAAACATTTAAATAATAATAAAATAAATCTCGATATATATATATATATATATATATATTTGGGTTCTCTGGTAGCTCAGCTGGTAAAGAATCAGACTACAATACAGGAGATCCCAGTTCAATTCCTGGGTGGGAAGATCCGCTGGAGAAGGTGGCGCTAGTGGTAAAGAACTCGCCTGCTAAGGCAGGAGACAGAAGAGACGTGGGTTCAATCCTTGGCTTAGGAAGATCCTCTGGAAGAGGAGGGTGTGGCAACCGACTCCAGTATTCTTGCCTGGAGAATCCCACAGACAGAGGAGTCTGGTGGGCTACAGTCCATAGGGTTCCAAAAAAGTCGGACACGACTGAAGCGACTTAGCACAGCACACACTTAATGTATTTATATAGATGACTGAAAGATAGATGGCCAGATATTCTATTGGTTCTGTTTCTCTGGAGAACCCAGATACTGCATCACCTTTTAAACATCAGAGTGCAAATGTGAACTCTGTCTGAGCACCATGAGAAAAGACAGATAAGAAAAGGCTGAAGGGAGATGTGAATTTGTTACCAGCTCTCAGACTGACAATTAACTTCTTTGCCCCAAAGGCAAGCAGCTTGCAGCTTCATGGCGTGCGTCCCCTACCTTTGTCCCGGCTTTTCTGGAATAACCTATGACATTGCCTTCCTTGTCCATGACCTCAATCCCGCGCATGGGCTCCAAACTTCGGGAGGCAATCACGTTCATCCCACTGAGCTGGGCTGTGGACGTAAAGAAGGAAAGAGAGGGATGAGTGTGGGTCCAGTGAAGAGGCATGTCTTCGAGGGTCACGCCTCTTTCTCTGATGGGTGCGTTTTGCCAATCCATGGGCGGTTACCTGACACATACAAGGTCAGCTGTCTCCTGGGCTGTGGAGCAGGGGTCAGAACTGCTGGCCTCTTGGTCTTGGATGTGACTACAACCCAGCCCCAGGTCCCGACACCCGTGACGGGATTCCCAGAAGAACCCCGGGGCCTTTGAAATATGCCTGCCTTCTTTGCTGAAGCTGGCTTGACCCAGTTTCTGTAACATAATTTCCCAGATTTTACCACTGACCTAATTCTGCCAGCTCTTCAAGCTGCTTTGATTTCCAAGCCCAAATGCTGAGGGTGAATTACTGAACTTGCAGGCTGGCAAATTTAAAACAGTTGGTTACTATCTCTGTCCCTCCCTTGGAGTCAGACTACTGGTTTGAAATCCCCAAGACTACTACTTCCTCCCTGTGTAACCCTAGAAAATCTCCCTAACCACCCCTTGCCTCAGTCTTTTCATCTGTCAGTGGGGATAATATTACCTGCCTCTAAGTTGTTGTCAAGATTCAGTGAAATAATATATGGACAAGGCTTGTACAATCTTTACAAAGAGATGAAGACATAGAGAACGGATGTGCGGACACAGAGAGAGATGGGGAGAGGGGAGCGAACTGGGAGATTGGGGTTGACATATATACATTTCCATGTGTAAAACAGAGAGCTAGTGGGAAGCTGCTCTTTAGCACAAGAGCTTAGCTCAGTGCTCTGTGATGACCTGGAGGGGTGGGATGGGGGCAGTGGGAAGGAGGTTCAAGACGGAGGGTAAATGTGTATACACGCACACACACACACACAGACACACATATAGTGATTCACTTCGCTGTACAGCAGAAACGAACATTGTAAAGCAATTATATTTCAAGAAAAAATTTTAAAAATAAAAAATACTAATTGGAGTAATTTGTTATAAATAATATATATTTATTTATATAAATATAAATAAATAAAATGTAATTTGTGTTTCCAGGTTTGTGTTTATCCTTTGACAACTAAAGGGATATCTACAGAGAAAGCATCATTTCTCAAACCAAAGACCCCATCTGGACCTGGGGGCACCAGCAAGCTGTAAATGGTGGCTCTCACCAACTGCAGTGAGGCCCAGGGACTGGGGTATACCTGAAGATGGAGGCAGGCTCCCGCTTACCGAGAATAATGACGGGAATGACATTTCTGCTCAGAACGCTATTCATTGAAAGCTTTACTTGGAGCAAACGAGGGAATAGCTAGAAAACGAGAGAGACAAATCATTATTGCGTGGGACCAGCAGAGAGCTGGTGTCAACCTAGTTCCTGTTACAGGGCAGGACCCTGCAAGTGTCTCCACATATTTCTTGTTTTAATTCCTGCAACACTGAAGTGCTTTCCCTGATCATCAGAGGAACGCTTAGAGATTTAGGCTACAGAATGTGTCCAGAGTCACTAAAATGTTAAGAATTTGACCCAAGAGGTGAACCCAGGCTCACCAGACTCTGAAGTCTACATTCACTCATTACAGTATCCTGACATTAAAAGCAACACATAATTTGTATAACATGTTTACAAACATGACATTATTCTTTTTTTTGGTCGCATAGTGCTGCATATGGGATCTTAGTTCCCTGACCTAAGGGAACTACACCCCCTGCAGTGGAAGTTCAGAGTCTTAACCACTGGACCACCAGTCAAGTCCCCTGAATTAATTTTTTTAAAGAAAGATAACAGTACTGAGTCCATGCCTAGAAACTTAGAAAAAAAAAATCACATAATTTTGAGGTTATAGGATTACAGGTAACTTTGATTTTTTTCTTTATGTCTTAATCATACTCTCTAAATTCAGTTAGAACATAAAATTTTGATTCTGAGGAGTAAAAGATTTGACACATTTTAAAAATACATACGCCCAAAAAAGTTGAAGATACAATCACTCCTGCACCTAGTAATAAGCTCTCATGTGCACGACGATCCTAGGGAAAAACAAAGGTTCATATTTAGCAAATGCCACAGTTCTACCCAGGAAAGATAATTCCAACAAACACACAAAATCGCCAAAAGAAACACTGTGAAACTGCATGGGCTCTGGGCCTTGTGATACTCACATAACTTGCATTTCCATTGATGATGTTGAAGACTGTACTGTAGGTGTAGAAGGAGGCCTACAGGAAGACAGAGGCTAACCCGTCACATTTTGGTTTCAAGTTCAACAAAATTCAATAATTCTGAAATAGAAAGAACTGCTACCTGAGGTAAAATCATGGACTTCAGACTTTTCACCGGCAGCATTGACAGAAATAGCTGTAAAGAAAGTAAAGCAGATACAGACTACTATATATAAAATAAACAAGGACCTACTGTGTAGTACAGGGAACAATACCCAAGATCTTGTGATAACCTACAATGGAAAAGAATCTGAGAAAGAATACATATAAAATGAATCACTCTGCAGTAAACCCGGAACACTGTAAATGAAGTATACTTCAATTAAAGAAAATAAAGCAGAGCTGAGAGCGTCTTGGGCGGGAGGGAAGGCTTGTGGCACACAGAACCTCCCCAGGGAGATGTAGAACTGAGTCCCCAAGAGCAAGGGCAAGAAGCGGAAGATGTGGATGCCTGGGGCTAGTGGCCCGTGGACAGGTGGTGTTGGATGGGCCCCCATGGGCAGTGAGAGCCCAGGGGTGCCTCACACTGGTCCCCGTCTCCAAACATGCAATAGAACAGGGTGGCTGAGAAGCGTCATTTTAATTTATTTTAAATTAAACTTGCAGGGGGCAGAGCCAAGGTGGGCAGCTTCACTGCGGGTGATTCTGGGTCCCAGGGGAGGGCCTGCCTGATTGGCGGGGAGGGGGCTTGGGGCGAGGAGGTGATAGCCAGTGACATGGGCCTGTGCCATGGAGTATGTCCTAACTCATCAACCTCATCCTTACCGCTTGGCACATGGTAGGTATTCAAAGAAAGGGTTACCTTGCGACATTGTGTATCCTCAACAGGCCCTGATGCCCGGGGGGATCAGTAGGGGTGGGGTGTGGACGAGGGTCAGAGGTGAGAGGTCCTAACCATCTATCAGGCAGTCAACGGACAGGGGCCCAGAGCTTAGGAGATGGATGGACGTCCTCCTGACCCCTTGGCTTCTTAGTGGTGAATGGCAGCTTACTCACCGTGGGTGCCGTGAAAGGCAAGAGAGCTGGCAAGAAAGACAAGAGGGTCAGTGATGGCAGAGAGGGTGGAAAACCACCCACCCTGAAGCCTCTTCTCAGGCCCGGGAGTCAAAGGATATTTTTTACGCACTTTCCTTTCTAATAAAAATAATAACTACATGCATAAGGCAAAACTTAAAACCAGCACAGCAGAGGAAGACCTGACCAGGCTTTCTCTCATTGAGGGTAAGTGGTCACTTGTTGCAAATCTTTGTTCATCCTTCTAGGTGAATTCAATACATCTGTGACACTGTGACTTATAACAAGACACACGTATTTCCTCTTCATCCCTATATCCCTGGCCCAGAGATCCTAAAACCCTTGAAATTTCCTAAGTGAGAAGGGCGATAAAGGTAAAAGGAGTGTCTCTTATTCTTTTCTTTAAAATTTATTTGGCTGCACCAGGTCTTAGCTGTGGCACACAGGATCTAGTTCCCTGGTTGAGGATCGAACCTGGGCCTCCTGCATTGACAGCATGGAGTCTTAGCCACTGGACCACCCAGGAAGTCCCAAGTGCCTCTCATTCTTCAAAGCAAGCCCCTTTCAACCACACCTGAGATAATGTCAATACGGTGACTTTGGGAAAGCACCGAAGGATGGGGCTCGTTGCCAGGGGAACCAACCACATGACTTGGAGGGAGGCAAGGTTTTCTAAAGGTTACAAACCACTTGTGAAAATTAGAATCAACTCACCTGCAGGTCGAAAAGGACCAGGGATTAGCCTGCTATTGTCAGGATGCACTGTGGACTTCAGAAGGGTAAACACAAAGGTGAGTCTGATGTTTGGTTTTGTTATTTTAGGCTAAAAATTAGGATGGGGCTGAAACTTACAAGACTTCTCTTCCAAGCTTCTTGTATCTAAAAAGAGAAAGACCAAGCAATAGTTTTTAAAGGTGGCCCGGCAGCCAAAATAGCTCCTCTCCAGTTTCATTTGTGGTACCACCTTTGCTCCACCTTTCAGGGAGTGAAGGGTGAACTGTTTTCTACCACGGGGGCAGAGCAGATCAAAACAAGTAAATCAAATGAATGAATTAACAAGAAGCAAAAAGAAGAGCCACACAAAAATGACCAAAACATTAAAAAGGCCCCCAAGTTTGTGACTTTGGAGAGGCCAACATCTAACTTGCCCCTTGGGGGAGTCCTTGAATGCCGCCAGCCTCCCCCGGCTCAGAGCAGAGCAGGCTGTGTGCAAACCACGCTATTAGCCAAGTCACTGTAAGAGAGCCAGGTGTGAGTTCAAAGGCCCCAACAAGTTCTTAGAAAAACCAAGTTAAACATGCGAGCTTTCCGCAGGCTGCCTCAAGGGATTGATGTTTGTGGGCTCTGGAAAGCCCCATTCGCTGCAAGGTAGATAACAAACACTGGGCTTAAGTCTTCGCGCAGGGGCTGTAACCCCGCCCCCTAACACTGCTTCTAACAGGGAGCAGATTCTGACTTCAGAGGCCTGCGAGAATTCTGGAATTTGCCATGGGGCTCAGGAGTCAGCTACAGAGAATAGATACTGTAACTGCCAATCTCTGTTGCACAGGAAGAACCCTATGCTTTTTTTTTTTTTTTAATTTTTATTAGTTGGAGGCTAATTACTTTACATCATAATTAGCCAAGTCACTGTAAGAGAGCCAGGTGTGAGTTCAAAGGCCCCAACAAGTTCTTAGAAAAACCAAGTTAAACATGCGAGCTTTCCGAAGGCTGCCTCAAGGGATTGATGTTTGTGGGCTCTGGAAAGCCCCATTCGCTGCAAGGTAGATAACAAACACTGGGCTTAAGTCTTTGCGCAGGGGCTGTAACCCCGCCCCCTAACACTGCTTCTAACAGGGAGCAGATTCTGACTTCAGAGGCCTGCGAGAATTCTGCAATTTGCCATGGGGCTCAGGAGTCAGCTACAGAGAATAGATACTGTAACTGCCAATCTCTGTTGCACAGGAAGAACCCTATGCTTTTTTCCCTTAATACTAGTTCCTAACAGTAGTAACTCATATTCATCTGGCTTACAAGAAGGAATCCTAACTATATTTTAAAAGCTAACCCAACTGAGCAGTGTTTACGATGCCAAAATACCACCTGATTTCAGACCATGCAGTTAGAATCACCTGAAGGCACCCAAGCCCAGCTTTGAGCCAAGCACACCTGGAAACAAGAAACATACCCTTTTGTCCTCAAAGTCACCTCTGGATGCATCTTCATTTGTTAACAAGAGTTGCCTCGATTTTTCTATTTTTTCCTACAATTAGATATAAAGAAATCAAGCAATGATCTCAACTTCAGATTTATCCACAGATTTAAGAATCAGGTGCTTACTAACACCTGATTTAAATTTTTTTTTTTTTTTTACTTCTCCAAGAGGCTTGCAGGATCTTAATTCTTGACCAGGGATTGAACCCACACTCTCAGTATTCCACTGCATGAATATACCATTTTATATTTTTCTATTTCCCTACTGATGTGCATTCAGCTTGTTTCCTGTTTTTCTCTATTATAAACAAAACGACAGGAAACATTTATTTGAGCACAAAGATAGGAGTGTCCCTGTGGACCTGGCTGTAAGTGTCATTGCTGGTCTCTCACGAAGGGTTTCTCTTCCTCTTCATCCCTCAGCCACACCTGGTTCAAACTCTCATCTTTCACTTAGATAACTGAGTCATCCCCTGCACTGATCATAGTCTGGGTCCCTGTGGTTACTTGTCAGATGGCTAAGTAAAAATCCCTCTTGTCTGAATGATACACAAGGACCTTCCAGAACTGTCTGGTTCCCCTGAGTTAAAAGACCCAGTATTGGGTGACCTGGCCCCTGCCCCCCTCCCCTTTGCTCACAGTCCCGTCTTCCTAACAGTTCCTCCCTGGCCCACCCTCCCTCCCTCCCAGCCTTCTTTAAATAACCTCCCCCAATTCCCTGCTACACCTTGCCCTTGGAGCCCTGAGTCAAGGTCTGAGACTAGCTTTGCTAGTCTGTCCTCCATCACCAGGGAGATTTGTTTTGATTCCCTTTGAAACCACCAGTACCAGGCCCAGGGTTTGGTTGGTTGGTGTTGTTTAGTTGCTAAGTCATGTCCAACTCTTTTGTGGCCCCAGGGACTGTAGCCTGCCAGCCTTCTCTGTCCATGGGATTTTCTAGGCAAGAATACTGGAGTGGGTTGTCACTTCTCCAGGGGATCTTCCAAACCCAGGAATCGAACCTGTGTCTCCTGCATTGCAGGTGGATTGTCTACCACTGAGTCACTCGCCTGGGAAGCCAGGATTTGGTACTACCTGTTAAATGGATTGCTCTTATGTAGCAACCTTCCAATCTCAAGTTCATTCACAAGAAATAAAAACATGATACTATACATGGATTCTGCTATTTCAACTGCTTTGAAAAGAGACATACAGCCTTCACATTTCAGAATAAAATGTGAAATTCACTATTTCTGAAAACAAGAAAATACTTACAATTGAAAGGACCAAATTCGTAGGATCCAACAAGTCTGTCCACTGAAGAACTCTTTGAATAAAAGACTTGAGAGGGGCAGGAGCACCAGAGAGGTTAATGGCAGCAGAAAAACAAAAACAGGTAATAATAACAGTTAACAATATTTTTAGAACCTCTAGGGCCTTCTCCTTGCAGCATCTGCTAGAATCCTCACAACATCCCCATCCTACAGGTGAAGACACTGAAGCTTCCAAGGGCTCATGAATGTACCCAAGGAAGCCCAACCAGGAAATGACCCAATGGCCTGTGCTCTTCACCTCAAATTGCTGTTGAGGGTTACCAGCCCAGACTCTGGGGTCAAATGGACCTATGTTCACACCCCACATATCACCTTGAAGCACTGCCTAGAAAGGTCTCAATCCTTCTAGATTCCTAGAAAGGAATCTGTTTCTTCACACCCCATGGGTGGTTACAAGGCTTGCATGCGTGCTCAGTCATGTTGTTAAAACCCTAAGGACTGTAGCGCGCCAGGCTCCTCTGTCCATGGGATTCTCCAGGCAAGACCACTGGAGTGAGTTGCCATTCCCTTCTCCAGGGGATCTTCCTGATGCAGGGATCGAACTGGAGTCTCCTGCATTGCAGCAGATTCTCTACCAAAGCCACCTGCGAAGACTGGTTATAAGGCTTAACTCCAGTCATAAAGAACTGGATACTCCAGTGAAGGCTCAATACAGGCAGTTTGGTTCACATGTGGAGAAAGAAGGCCTGGTTTGCTCCCTAAAGCCCCCAAACTTTGCAGTGATTCCCGCTGAGAGGCCTGGCTCTGCTAGGACAACTTGAGTTCCCTGACCTTGCCTTTCCCACCTAAGAGAACCGAGCAAGGCTCTGCTCTAGGTCAAGGCGGAAAGAAAACACTCTAGAAACGTGCTGTCCAATTAACCACATGTGGCCAGGCCAATTTCAGATGTGCTGTATGTGGAAACCATACATAAAGACTTCCTACAGAAAAGGATGCAAGAAATCTCATTTATAATTTTTTATCCCAATTACATGTTGAAATGTTAATATTTTGTTTCTACTGAGCTAAATGCAATATATTATTAAAATTAAAATGTGAAAAGTCATATAGTTTTAATGTGACTACTAGAAAATTTGGAATTACCCACGTGGCTCCATATTACTTCTATTGGACAGTGCCTCCTGGCCACTGCCTGGAGGCGGGGCTTCCCGCAGCCCTGAATCTCACGGTCGGGCGGCTGAGCCTACAGACTCCCGGGGAGGACCCGTTTTGTGCCTCTCCAGCCTGGTGCTCAGCAACAGCCTAGGCAGCAGGAGCGGACCCCCGAGGGGTGCGGAGTGACTCCTGGTTCGTGCGATCTGCAGGGTGACACTGTGTTACCTACCCTCCCTAGCCAAGCCTGCGGCAGAGGCGACGCACGCTAACAGCCGTGGCCGTCGGCATCCTGCAAGCCTGGCTTTCCTTTCGTTCCCCCCCGGGGTCTGAGACGGGAAGGTGGGTGCTGCGACCACGTGGCCTGCCCAAGGTCACGGCGGCCAGCGGCGACTCCAGGCCGCGCGGCCCGCGCACTCCCCGCCCCCAGCCGCGCCGGGCCCGGGCCGTACTTGGCGTTCGGTGATCCAGAAGCGCACGTTGGGCTCCATGCGGGCGGCGGCGCCGCTGCACCCTGGGAGCCGCCCGGCCCCCCGCGCTTCTTCCTCCTCTTCCGGGCTCCTCTTCCTGGGACCTTAAGAGCTGCCAGGAAAGGCCGCGGCGGCCGGGCCTGGCGGGGAGGAGGAGCCGAGCGGCGAGCCCCGCCCCGAGCACGCGCGCCCTCTGCTCCTCCTTTCCGCGTGCGCTCTGTTCCAGCTCCCGGGTTCCCGCGCGCCTGCTGTTGCCGGGAGCCCACCTCCCCCATAGGCCAGGTCTTCCCAACCTTGTTCCTCACTTTCGGGTAGGGCGGCCGCCTCCGGGCCTAGACGGGTCGCCTATGTAAACCCCATATCACGGGACCTACAGTGGAGATCTGATCAGGGGCGCCTGGCGCCTTCCGCAGCCTCACCCTGCAGTCCTGCAGTGTCTGAAATTCCCCTAGCACAGGCTTTGTACTCTAGGAAATCTCTTCGATTGCACCTGAAGTCCAGCGTACACGGGATGGGGGATAGGACGTGCTATATAATTTGTGAGGCCCAGTGGTATCTCTTTTTTGAATTTTCAAAAGTCGACTTGAGAGCATTAAACCAAGCCCTGGGGTCCTAGGTTCCCCAGCCCTGCCTCCCAGGCAGTGTCTGCCCAGGGTTTTCCCCTGCGCTGGGGCAAACTCAGTTTCCTCTGCTGTACACGAGAGGGTAGAGACCACTTGTAGAGGAAAATGTGCCTTCCTTCGGCCTCCACCCACTTCCCCAGCACTGGGGTGTGTGAGGGTTATGTGTGTTTGTGGAAGGCTGGATGTTGAGGGTGTTCAGGGGGCTCCCGAGGAGTCCCAGGTTAGGGACCTGGTGCCACGGAATACTTGTGTGGCCATGGTCGTATCTTGAAGTCTACTTTCTCATCTGTAAAATGACAATAATTGTACCTATTGTGTTTCTGTTGTGGGTCCAATGAGATAAAACATGTGAAAGCCCTAGCAGTGCTGGGTCCATAGGAAGTGCTCAGTCTGGACCACTTGCAGCCCGTTGGCCTTTGCCCTCCCTTTGATTTTACCTCCGGGAACATGAAAGCAGCTCATGGTTTTCTTCAGGCCCATGTGGCCTCTCAGCTCCCACAGGTCACTTTTCCGTATCTCTAAGACTTCCTCTCCTCCTCCATGAAGACTTTGCTGATGTCCATAGCCAGGTAAGGTGCTCCGCTCCTCAGAGTTCCCCGGAAGGCATCTATTACCGTAGTATTTAGCACATCTGGATTATCCTGCTGGCTCTACCGCAAGTGTCACAAATCCAGCCCTGCTGACCTGCTTTCCTCTTTCCACTGTTATGGGTCTAGTCTTAAGAGAGGAGCCAGAGTGAGCCTCTAAGAACAAGGTGATGTAACTCTTCTCAAAACATTTTTGCCATTTCCGGTCTCAGAATAGAATCTGAAGTCCTTAGCTTGTCCATAAAGCACTCTGGGCTCCCCATTACCATTCTCCTCCTTCATGGGTCTGGTCATATTGTCCTTCAATTTTTCACCCACCCCAAGTCCACTCTTGCCTCAGGGCCTTTGCACCTGTCATTTGCTTTGCCTAGAACCTTTTTATCCCTGCAACTCCCTCACCTTCTAGGTGTTTTATCTCATTTGACACCAAAATCCCAAGGTAGGTACAGTTAGTCATTTTGCAGATGAGAAAACAGACCTGGAGAGATTGACTCCCTGAAACCCCATTAAAATACCTGTACCTCTCTGCTCTAGTCCCTTGTTCCACTTTATTGTCCTTCCACACATTCTATGTAATGTTATTGTTTATTCCCTCTACAATGTAAGTGCAAAAAGGAAGAGGTATGTCTTTTTTGTTCGTTCTGCCTCCAAAATAGTACCTAGCATATAGTAGGCACTCCAGGATGTGACTGTAGCTTGCCAGGCTCCTCAGTCCATGGAATTCTCCAGGCAAGAATACTGGAGTGGATAGTCATTCCCTTCTCTAGGGGATCTTTCCAACCCAGGGGCTGAACCCAGGTCTCCCACATAATAGGCAGATTCTTTATGGTCTGAGAAACCAGGGAAGCCATTAAAATGAATAAATGCTTTCATATTTCTTTTGTCCAGTTCCTTGGGTGTGGAGCCAGCATCTTATTCATCTTTGTAGCCACTGAGTTAAATGCTCAATAAATGTCTGTTGATATAATCAGAGAAGGAAAACTAGAGAGCCCCACAATATAAGTAAGCTGAAGCAAGAATTAATGGTGTTAAAAAGGCAAGTATTTTAAAATATGTTTATTTTTTATTATATTTTTTAGATGGAACACTTCAAGAAAAAATAATTACAATAATTCAAATGCATGAATGATTCAAATTCATACTGCAATCCCTGGATTCAATAAATATCCTTTCTAATTATACCCAATCAATATTAGAAATGTATGTAGACACTAAGTCAGCTAATAAAGTAAGTAAAATAACTATATAAACTATAAATCTCAGGAATGGGGAACATGCATGATCAGTTAAGTCACTTTGCCACTGTGTTGTTTTTTTTAAAAAAAAAAAACATGATTCACATTTCCTTCAACCATACACACATTCATTCCAAGTGTTAAATTAGACCACTAATACTAACAACTTAAAATTATGGTCTTTAAAGAAAATTCAGTTTAATACAAAGAAATTTAAGAGGAAAATTTCAGGACCCTTGATCAGAAGTTTTCAATACCTGTCGTACTACTCTGGTATACACAAAGGTTCAAGTAAGGCTGAGGAAGAAGATCTGTTTCCTTTTCCTACTGAAGACATGATCCAAGAAATAGGTGAACTACACACTCTAGAAACTAGCCATCCATTCATACCTTGCCCTGGACTCATCACATTAGTAACTGAAAACGTTTTAAAAGCCTTGGCCAACATTACAAAAACAAAACATTTAGAGTAATACTATTTATGAATACAAGCATCATTGGGTTTTTTTTAGTTTCCACAAACTGGAACGCCTTCACCAAGCGGAGGGTCTCTTCCACGCTTCGGCCCACTGGGAGATCATTGACGCTCAGATGCTTGATGACTCCATTGGGGTCAATTATGAAGAGACCGCTGCATAAAGATTCACCCTCATCAGAGTGTCAACATTACCAGAGCTAGAAAGACTCTACCTCTACCCTGCCTTTAATTCTTCTTGATAGAGCATTTATTAAACTCTATCATGTGCTTAAAAATCAGGTTTTCCTTATACAGAAAGCTTATCATCTCTTATTGATGACAGGTGCTTTAACAAAGATAGAACTAGACTAGGCCACCACGGAAAACAGGCAGTGTGTTCACATTCACAGATGTGACCTGGATGTCTCATAGTATCTGAAGGTCACTGAACTACACAGAGCAAAGACTTCTCGTTAGTGATGCAGTAAGCATTCTTTGGGCAGCTGTATCAGATCTTGGCAAGAAACCATAGGCGACTGAGAAGGAACAGAGATGTATTTTATCTGTATTCTGTAAATACTTATGAGTGAATTGAGTAGCGGGGAGAAAATCCCATGGGAAAATTTACTGGCCTTAAGTCTAGGCAGAGTAGAAATCTAAAGGAAAAACAATCCCATCACTTTTATTTTGGGCTACCCTGAGGTACAGTTTGTATAGGAAAGACAGAATGACTGCTTAGTACTCTTCCATTATTAAGTTTTCAAAATAATGAACTGGTTTCCTGGAATTCTTCGAATCTTGGATTTAAATATATTTGATGTGTTTCAATCACTGACAGTTCTTATTTTGATGCAGATTGTCCAAGTGTCCCCTCACTATCACTTAGCAGCAATGTAAAAAGGTAACCCGCCACCCTGGGGTTTGTGCTTATCTTCTATACAAGGGAGGGTGACCCCCTGACTTACCCAGAGGTCATAAAGCTCAAGAGGCTTTTACCAGTCCATCTTTAAAAGGGTGTGGTATCCCAAACGTTGATCACTCAGGAAAAAGGCAAGTCAGAAAAAACTCAGAAGATAAAAAGGTGGTTCTCCCTCCCTGGGCCTGGCCTTAGGGGGTCTAGGCTCTGAGGCTAAGGGGGTCGCGGTGCAAGTTCCTGAAGGGTGTAGCCAAGGTGGAGTCCACAGTGCAGATGCGGAAACAGAGAGCTGGGTTGGAGACGGGCCCGCAGCACAGTCTCCAGAAAGAAAGGCTTATCTTACAAGCCAGACTGACTCCTCTCCCTTTTGTCAGTCCTAACAGAGAAACTAGGAGGGAGGTAACTACAAAGTGAGACTATACAGGGGATTCTGNCCAGAAAGAAAGGCTTATCTTACAAGCCAGACTGACTCCTCTCCCTTTTGTCAGTCCTAACAGAGAAACTAGGAGGGAGGTAACTACAAAGTGAGACTATACAGGGGATTCTGGGAGGAAAACACCAGGACTCTTCTCCTTCCCTTGCCAATGCTGTCAGAGCTAGGCTTCCACTTATTATAGGCAGCCAGTAATCTCCTTGGAGTCAAAAGGCCCAAGTTCCCAGGTGGCTTCTGGAGCCAAAATTCCAGCGTACCCCAAGCAGGCTGGAGATCAGCTACGACGGTGGGCAGGGGACGGGTTTGAGCCAGCCCCTGACAAAACTGTGAGGCCCATCCAAATGGGATCCTCGCTTGTGTCCTGGAGGTCAAGTTCTGCCCCATCCCTCCTTCATCAGTAGCCATCATGATGCCTAAGTCCTCGTCCCTCCCAGGAAGGCTGACGGCCTGGGATGGGGCTCACAGCAGCTCCGAGGACCTGTGCCACAAACTCTGTAGCTGCCTCACCTTACTCAATGCTCACAACCAACCCGGGAGGTACATTCTCACTTTAATTATGGGGAGAAAGGGACTCGAAGAGGTTAAATATCTTGCTCAAAGTCATACAGCTATTGAGCAGCTGAGCTTTAATAAATAAATTCAAACTCTGGTCCAGTTCTAGTGCTTGTACAAGATATTACCCATACCAGGAAACTGACTCCTACCCTTGCTGGCCCCCTCTGCCCCCCACCCCCTATCTCCAAGCAGTCTGACGGCTTCACTGCGAGGAGTGGCTCCCATGTGGTCAGGGAGAGTGAAGCAGTGTGACCATTAAGACGTGGTATTGGAGACTTCCCTGGTGGTCCAGTGGCTAAGACTCTGTGCTCCCCAATGCAGAGGGCCCTGGTTAGATCCCTGGTCAAGGAACTAAATCCTGTGTGCTGCCACTAAGAGCTGGTGCAACCAAATAAAATAAATAAATATATATTTTTTAAAAGGGTACAATATCCTTCTTCAGAAACGTGCCCAGGGAGACGCAGGGGGCACACATATCACAGTCATTCTGAAAGACTGCCAATCCTCGCAGGAGGCATCCACTGATGCTTATTACAATAAAAGACAAATGAAGGGTTTGGGGTTCTAAAAATTCCCTACCCAGGTTTCTGTAAATTGCCTATGAAGTACGATAACGCTAAACACAAAAAGCAATTTTAAGTTCATACAAAACGGATCTTACCGTAGCGCAAGGCCTGGACCTTCTAACAGCACACCGTAGTCTCGGGAAATCTGTTTGGTCAAATCTGACAAGAGTGCGATGTTCATATGGCCCAAACCGCCATTCTGATAAAAATACAAACAGGGCTGGTGGTTACACTGTGGCTCCCACAGCCTCCTCAGCCAGGTGACAGGGCGACTGACCAACACCAGCCAGACGGCAGTAACTGAGCACAGCGGGCCGAGCGCTGCGCTAAGCTCTTTCTACTGCCTCCCTTCCCCCTCCAGCTCCCTGGAGCAGCTACTAGCATCATCGCCATTCTACAGATGACAAAACTGAGGCGCACACAGGTTGAGTAACTTGCTCCAGGTCCCAGCTAAAAAGGGGCAGAGGCAGGATTTAAACCCAGCGAATACTACAGACTTTTCTTTTTCTAATTCTTAAAGTATCCTTTTGGTTGAAGATTCATTTCTGAAGCAAAAAGGTGGAATAATTTAAAAAAAAAAGAATACTTTGAATTATTTGATAGTCCAGCATTATAGCTAGAAATTGATTCTCCCAAGCAAATTTTTAGGCAAGAATACTGATCATGCAGAAGAGTAAAACCAGAGAACTTAACCACTGTCCCACGTGCCTCACAGGGTACGGGGATCTACAGGGTCCAGCTGCGAGGGGAGACAATGGAGTCCAGCTGTTTCCCCAGCCCTGCTGAGCTTGTTCTCCGTTATTGTTGGAAAACACAGGTGTACTGAGGAGTAAATACATGCCATGTTACAGGAGACATGGATAGAGCTTAACAGAATCTGCTAGTAGGTTAGGACTGACGGATAGCCCATTTCAGACTAGTCATGCTTTAACAACTTTGAGGTTGGTCTTTCATGGGATCTGGCAGTTTTTGAGATCACCAGTGCAGAGGTGGTGTGGATATGTGTATACCTTCCTCGGCGTGTTTATCCAGGCCAGGTGGCTGAAGTGGGAATCTACCGACACTGCAACGACTTCACAGTTCACATCATGAAATTCATTGGCTTTGTCACTGAAAGCAATAATTTCTGTAGGACACACAAAGGTGCTAGAAAAAAGGACAGGAATTCTCATCAGAGAATGTTTTTTATTTTTTATTTTTTTTTATTTTTTCCATTTATTTTTATTAGTTGGAGGCTAATTACTTTACAACATTGCAGTGGTTTTTGTCATACATTGAAATGAATTAGCCATGGATTTACATGTATTCCCCATCCCGGTCCCCCCTCCCACCTCCCTCTCCACCCCATCCCTCTGGGTCTTCCCAGTGCACCATGCCTGAGCACTTGTCTCATGCATCCAACCTGGGCTGGTGATCTGTTTCACCCTAGATATATATGTTTCGATGCTGTTCCAGAGAATGTTTTTTAAAAGACTTTTAAAATCTGAACAACAGTTGTCTAAAGAGTAGTTTTATTTTCTTAAAGGAGAAAAAGGCAAAAGGGTTAATCATCCCCACTGAACTCCTGGTCACAATGATACTCCAGTTTAAAAAAAACAACCACTAACTTTCTATTTTAAGAATCATATCAAAAAATAGGGGTGGGGGAGGCACACTCCAAGAATAAAGACAGAATTTTATTAAATAAGTAGCTTCATGAGAAAATTCATTTTATCATCCTTACTTTTCTCATCTCCCCCAGAGCAGTGGAAACTTCCTCGCTGACGGGCTTACAGGCACCACTACCCTAGAGTGGAACGCGGGCTCGAGGCTCGTGGGGTCAGGAGTGCAGCTCCCGGGCTACAGGGCCGTAAGACAAGAGCCACAGGGCTTCTCTGGCGGTCCAGTGGGTAGGAATCTCCTTGCAGTGCAAGGGACACAGGTTCGACCCCTGATCCCGGAAGATTCCACATGCCCCAGAGCAACTAAGCCGGTCCACCGCAACCACTGAGCCTGAGCTCTAGAACCCAGGAGCCGCAACTACTCAGCCCACGTTCTGCAACTATTGAAGCCCATGTGCCCTAGAGCTCATGCTCCGCAACAAGAGAAGCCACTACAATGAGGAGCCCCCGCTCACCACAACTAGAGAAAGCCCACGTGCAGCAACTAAGTCCCACTACAGCCAATAAATACACACATCTTAAAAAAAAAAAGCCATATTAAAACCCATTAAAAGGAATACCACTCCTCCCCCTATACTTAGCACTTGTGAATTAACTACAGATGCAAGCTGTATCAACAAGACCATCAGTGATAGAGTCAGCAATAACCCTCCCCTTGACAAGAGTAAAGATAGGCCGTGTCAGTGGGAAGGCAGCGATCTTTGCTTGCTCCCAGAATGATGCTACAGCGTCACAGAAAATACACTTACAAATCCAAAGGATAGAAGAAGAGCACTAAATATTTCCCTTTAAAGTCATCAAGGCTAATTTCTTTGAACTCTCCGCTGACAACAGCCGTGCCCTTAAAATAGGGTGCATGCTGGGTGACGGCGGGGGCATGGTATGAGGAACCTGAAAAATACCCCAAAAACATGCATATACAGTTCATTCGTTAAACCAACCACTTCTCTGATTTTACTCAAACCTCTCCCAGTAATTAGTCAGTAGTATAATTAAAAGGTTCAGTTCAATTGTACATCTTACAAAACTGTTTCTCTTTCCATAGGTTTAGACTGTACCCTAATTCCAAGTGCTATGGAAACTAAAGAGACAGGAGGGAATTCCCTGGCAGTCCAGTGGTTAAGACTCAGCTCCTGCTTCAGGGGACACCAGTGTGCTCCCTAGTCGGGAAACTAAGATCGTAAACCGTAAGGTGCTGCCAAAAGGCAAATAAATAAATAAAAGAAGACAGGAGAGAGTAGGGATGGAGGAACATAGAATTAAGGACCAATGAGCCTGAAGGTGGGTTCTAAGCATGGTCTGGACTGTTGCCAAGACCAGGGCGGATGGCACAAAGGAAGGAACACAACAGGTGCGGGGAATGGCCTGTAGCAGAGTTCGCTTGACACAGAGAACAGGTGTGCATAGAAGGAAGACGCGTGGGGGAGAGAGCAAGGACGGTGGAGGGTCACACTGAGAGGGCCCTTGTATATCAGACAGATGGGTCTGTTCTTAAAAGGAGAGATACAGGAATCACTGGAGGCTTCTGTGCAGGAGATGGGTGATGCGCTGGCTGTTCTTAGGAAGATTAGTCGGGCAGGGGAGAGTGAGAGGAGCAGGGAGAGCCTGATGTCAGGAGGTGACTGCAGCTATCTGAGTGAGCGGTGAGGCAGGCAAGGTACGGCAGAGGGGACAGAAAGAAAGGAAAGGATGCAAGAGCTGTGTCAGGACTGCAGAGGCCAGGCTTCAGGCTGGGAAGGCGGGACAAAGGAGGCCAGGTGTCAAGATGCCTGGCTCCAGAAACAGGAGGAGCTACTGGGAGCTGGGGTTTGGGACAGGTGAAAAGGAAAGTTAAACTCCTGTCATCAAGTTGATACTAGAAACTTCTTACAGCTCCAAGAAAATTGTAAATTTTTTTAGAACACTTACCAACAAACAAAGGTTTTGCTAAAGTACACCCCCCCACCCCCACCACCATTACAAGTTAAATAGTCTTTTTTAAAGGTGGGACAAACAAAAAGGAGGCCTTTCCAAATGCCACTCATTATCTGCAGCTGTGCCGAGCAAATCTCATATTTTAGAATGGAGTATAAATCTCAAGAAACAGCTGTGTGTCACTCAGATCAAGGAGGAGTCCAACAGACTGGCCTAACATGGCCACGTGGAGCCAGGCCACAGGTCTGAATCCAAAAGCCTTTAGAGTAGCTGCACCGTCCGTCCCTGGTCAGCTCATACCCTTCACACACAGCAGGCCCAGGCACCTCTGGCTGTCCCCACCCCTCCTTCATGTTCCTCGACCCAGGGGATTAAAACCTCTGGAGTCACCAAGGAAATGTGACACTTGGGCAGTCTGCCTCAGTGAGTCGCAACCCTTGGCAGAACATGAGAATCACTTGGTGAGCTTTAAAAAAAATTCGATGTTCTGGTCCCACCCCAGAGATTGACTTAATTTGTTTGGGTTGGGACTAGGAAAGTGGTACGATAGCAAAAACTCCCCACGTGAGTCTAATATATGGCCATAGTTCAGAACTCCTGTTCAGAGATGATAAATGTTTCCATTATCTGGTCCAACCCAAAGCATAACAACACTTACTGGTGCTAAAGGCGAATTTTGCTTGATCAGAACCAGACCACAAGGCATTTGTCAAGCACATTCTTCGAGAAGCAGCGGGCCTAAGGGCTGCAGAGGCTGAAATGCCCCAAGGAATGGCACTCACATGTCGGGCGAGCTAAAAAGAAAAACACTTTATATCAGAACGTATTCCCAGAATGGCAGCTGAAACCCTGCTGAAAGGGCATCAGGACACTAGTGGCCTCCGATGGCCTTGTTCCCATGAACAAAAACTCCAAACTGCAAAAGCATGGATTGAGTCTACAGGTTCTTAAAATTCCCTTCTGCTTCCTTATCCTTTAAGACTGTAAAGGAGACTAGGAAGACAGGGAGATGTTGGTCAAAGGGTACAAAGTTGCAGTTATGGAGGATGAGTAAGTCTAGAGCTCTAATGTACAAGCATGTTGACTATACTTAATAATACTGTACTTAAGTTGAAAATGAGAGTATTATTATTCTAAGAGAGTAGACAGGTGCACTCATCACACACACAAAGGCTAACCATGTGAAGAGATGTTAATTAGTTTGACTATAGTAATTATTTCATTACTTATATCATGATGCACACTTCACATATGTAATTTTTATTTTTTTTAAAAATATAGGGAATTCCCTGGAGATCCAGTGGCTGAGTGTAAATGTAATACCATACACATATGTAAATATAATTATCGGGTTGGCCAGAAAGTTCATTTGGATTTAACCTGAACGAACTTTTTGGCCAACTCAACACATATGTATTAATTAATGGGAAACAAAAGACGGCAAGGCAGAGGGAAATTACAAGAATGTGAAAATTCCATGCTTTTAAAAGGAACCCGGAGCACTCAGCCCAGGAGACCGGCCAGGCTGTGTATTAAGCTCTTTACCAGCAGATGTGCTGGGCATGTTCTACTATGTCAAGGTTTTCCCTTGGAAGAGACAAGGCCATTCCGGCCCACACAGAAGCAAACAAACAGAGCAAGTTCAGCCTCTGGGCTGGGTCAGACCCCTGGACAGGGGTCAAGGGAAACGTTTGCTCAATTTCGGAGTCCAGCATGACTCTGGAAGAAAGAGCCTGGGTGGAACCCCACCACGAGAAAGGAGAGGGCGGGCAGCCAAAAGCCTCAGGCACTTAAGGACTTTGGTTACTTTAGCATTTTGGTGTCCATTCAGCATTTAAGGGGATGCCACGGAAACCCTTGAGGTAGGCAGTCCATGCTAAGGTAAGGAAGTTATCTGAGGTTCGGAAAAGAAAACAATGGCCCAAGGTCATAGAGTCGGTTATAGAATCGGGACCAGGGGACAGGTCGCCTGCATCCAGAGCCAGGTGCTTAAGCAGGGGACAGGAGACTGGATAGCGGCCCAGAACTGGGAGCGAAGAGGGATTTGGAAACTGGAATGCAAGGCGGGGAGTGGGGGGGAGTGGGGGGTTGGGTGGGCGAAGGGCGGCTCTGCGCAGGCGCGGGGAGCCTGCCTTAGAGGAGGCGGCCCCTGGTCCATTTCCCTCTGACATCCTCCAAGGGTGAAAGACCCCCAGGCCAAGGGAAGCGGCATCCCACTTGGGAAGCACGTTCTCGGAGCCACCGCAGGGTCTAGGTGCCTGTGCCCCGCAAGCAACCACTCACCGAAGCCCGGAAAAACCTTCCCGCCGCGGCCGCCATCTTCGGTGCGCAGGGGACCGCGGGGCCGACGGAGACGCAGAGGGGGCGGAGCCTACGGGGCGTGGCCAGGGGCGTGGCCTCGGCGGACAGGGGCCGGCCCGCGCCGGAGCCGGGGCTTGGAAGAGCTACGACATTCGATGGGCCCTCTGCCTGGTACACGTCTCGGTTGTGGGGTCCCTCGATCCCACCCAGAGGAGGATTAAGTCCTGTTAAAACTCCTAAGTAGCTTCATGCTTGGGAAATTGATACTTTGTGTCTGTCGCCCCAGCCTAAAAAGATCCAATCCAGGGTGGGAAGATAGATATTTCCATATTGGCTACTGGTTTAAGAACTGACTCATTTGGAAAGACCCCGATGCTGGGAAAGATTGAAGGCAGGAGGAGAAGGGGCGACAGAGGATGAGATGGTTGGATGGCATCACTGACTTGATGGACATGAGTTTGAGCAAGCTCCGGGAGTTGGTGATGCACAGAAAAGCTTGGTGTGCTGCAGTCCATGGGGTCGGAAAAAGTCGGACACGATTGAGCGACTGAACTGACTGAACTGTGAACCTGTGGATTACTGTTAGTGTAAAAGGCTCCCTTTCCTATTTTGGCCTGAGGTAGAGACTTCTGGCTCCTAGATGAAATGGAATTAATCATGAATGCAATTTCAGGGACTTCTCAGTGGCTGAGACTTGGTGATCCCAGTGCAGGGGCTGGGGGTTCCATCTGGAGTCAGGGAACTAGAGCCTACATGACTCAACCAAGAGTTTGCATGCTGCAACTAAGATTTGGTGCAAATAAATAATAAATGTTTTAAAAATCATTAATGCAGTTTTTCTGTTAGTAAGCCAAGTTGAAGAAGGAAACGGCAACCCACTCCACTTTTCTTATCTGGAGAATCCCATCGACAGAGGAGACTGGCAGGCTGCAGTCCATGGGGCTGCAAGAGTCGGACACATCTTAGCAACTAAACCACCACCACCAATAAGCCAAGTGGGTCAGACACATCAAGATTTTGTTGTCCTGAAAAATCTTTGGGATGATGTGTGGGCTTCCATTTTGGCTTCTCTTGCCAAAATTGGGAGAATTAAGACACATTTAACATTTATTTTTGGTTGATTAGTAAAGCCAAGTGCTCAGTGGTGAGCACGGTACCTTGAAGCATGTTCATCAAACATGATAAAAATAAAGTAAGTGTGATAAAATGTAGATCCCAAGTGGATATTTTCCAAACTGGGTTGGTGGGTATGGAACCAAACGACACAACCTAGACAAAGATCAGGAAAGGGAAGGATTTATTACTTGCAACAAATAAGACTTTTTTTTTTTTTTAATATTTCTTTGGCTGTGCCATGTCTTAGTTGTGGCACGCAGTATGTTCCATCTTCATTGAGACATTCAAACTCTTAGCAACGGCCTATGGGATCTATCTAGTTCCCTGACCAGGGATGGAAACTGGTTCCCCTGCCTTGGGAGTGCAGAGTCTTAGCAACTGGATCACTGGGGAAGTCCTAAGTAAGGAGATATTTTCCAAAGCATTGTCATGTTAAATAGCAAAATTAGGGAAGTTTCAAGCTAAGGGTATGTGGGTATGCATGAAGGGGCTTGAGTGGTAGATAGAATCCAAGCTTTAGTTGATTGAAATTACGAGGGTCAGAAAAGGTCAATATCATTCATCGCTTAGGTTCCAGTTGATCTGGTGGTTGAACACTTCAGGCCAATCTTTATCATTGAAACAGACTTGAAAGTGTTTATAACTGAAGTATCCTTGCTATAGTTACTTCTATTGCCTGATAAAGTCATTTGCTTCTGCATTCTTTTGTTCCCTTTAGATCATAAATTACTAAGACCTGTTCAAGGACAGCACTGTGGCCAGCCTTAGATCACAAAAATAGCTTAGGCCAAAAATGACTTTTCTTACATCAAGACAGTCATGTCTGGTTCTCTTTCTCCAGGGAACCCCTACCCTATCTGCGTATAGGTCCAACGTGCGTGCATGCTAAGTCACTTCAGTCGTGTCCGACTCTTTGCAACTCTATGGACTGTAGCCCACCAGACTCCTCTGTCCATAGCATTCTCCAGGCAAGAATACTGGAGTGGGCTGCCATGCCCTCCTCCAGGGGATCTTCTGACCCAGGGATCAAACCCCCCTCTCATGTCTCCTGCATTGGCAGGTGGGCTCTTTACCACCAGTGCCACCTGGGAACCCTTACAGGCTCAACATAGATGCCCAGTTCCCAGGTCTTTTGGCTATTGGAGACTTTTCACTGTTTATCACTTCTTTTCCAAATAGAAAGCTGAAGCAATTGCCTGTGGTTCAACAGCTTGCCTCAAGTCACACAGGGATTCACTGACTGGGGGACAATGAGAATGGAGAACTCCTCATTGGACACATTGGTCTGCTGGTGTTTGTCTAAAGCTTATCTCCCTGGTCCTAGAAAGAATGAAGTACCCTAGAATCTCTGGCCCAGAGGCCCAGAAGGAATTTCGCACTAGAGCCTTTCAGTATCCTGCTCAGAAATTGCAAAGTGAGTGTCCTCCAGCTAATCTCTGGCTAGAGCCAAAGACGTCCTCTGTGAGGATGAGCAGGGTCCTCCACTTGTTCATTCCAAGAAAAGATAAGCTTAACTGGAATTGGCATTTGAGTTTTATTCTGCCAACCCTTCTCTGACTACCTCCCCCGGGGGTCGCTAGAGAAACCTCGAACGTCCCTAGAAAGCTTTTCTCATTCTCATCTCTCATTCTCACTCTTGCTACATCATGCTGGGATTCTCCATAGTCTTTTCTGGGGCTTCTCTGATGGCTCAGCAGGTGAAGAATTCACCTGCAATGCAGGAGACACAGGAGACGCAGGTTCAATCCCTGGGCCGGGAAGATCCCCTGGAGTAGGAAGTAGCAACCCACTCCAGTATTCTTGTGTGAGAAATCCCATGGACAGAGGAGCTGGGTGGGCTACAGTCCATGGAGCCCCAAAGGGTCGGACACAACTCAGCGACTGAAAACACACACACACACACACACACACACATGCACACACACACAGAGTTTTGTTTAGATCTTAACCACACTGTGAAGTTCATGAAGGTAAAGCTCATATATGATACACAGAAGGTAAAGTTCTGTGGTCAACCATGGTTAGGCTAGTACCTTGCTCATAACAAATGCTCAGAAAAAGTTTGTCGAACTAATGAATAAGCAGTGGTTGACATAGTGGCCAAGATGTTCTTTCCACATTCATTCAAGGCGGGGGAAAAAAAAAATCTCTTTATTCAGTTTCCTCTAGCTGTCACAACAAGGACATAGATTGTTCCCCTAAAGAAAAAAGACAAACTGAACTTGTCTTCATTACCAAAAGAGTAGAAAATAACTGAAATTCTCCCTTTTGAGTTTGGAAGAAGAACTTTTGGACCTAGAAGACACGACTCAGCATGCATGCATGCATCTATTCCCACCCCCGCCTCCTTTTTCAATAGACTATACATATATGTGTGTGTGTGTATTTTTTAATTTTTTGAATGCCCTCAGGGCACATGGGATCCAACTGATGCCCCCTGCATGGGAAGCATGGAGTCTTAACCACTGGACCGCTAGGGAAATTCTCAGTAGACTCTAATTTTTAGAGCAGTTTCAGGTTCACAGCAAAATTGAGTGAAAACACAAAGACTTCCCATGTACTCTCTGGGTCCTCCCTTGCACAGCCTCCCCAACCATCTGCCGAAGTGGTGTATTTGCTACAATCCATGAACCTACACTGATAATATCATGATCGCCCTGAGTTTACATTAGGGTTCACTCTGCTGTTGTACACCCTATGGGTCTGGACAAATGTGTGCTGATGTATATCCACCACTATAGTCTAACACAGAATAGTCCACTGCCCTAAAAATCCGCCTCCTAATTCTAGGCCACCTACCCCCTCTTTAGAGCAGTGTCTCCCAGTCAGCCTGCCAACGTCTCCACTTGGATATCTCTTACTCAGCCCAAACTCAACAAACACAAGACCAAACTCTTGCTTTCTCTCCTCAAATCTATTCCTCACTACCTGCTCATTGCCACCGCGGCCAACCAGCACCCAAAGGATGGATGTCTTCCCTCTATGTCCAATGCCACCACCTCAGTCCAGGCCATCACCATTTTGCCCCTGGAATTTTCACAGCGTCTTAAGGCCTCTTGGTGGTCAAAAAGACTTAGGTCACTTCCACAGTGTGAGGTTGTCTTTTTTTGTTGTTTTGATGTGGACCATTTAAAAAGTCTTTATTGAATTTGTTACAATATTGCTTCTGTCTTACATTTTGGTTTTCTGTCTTATGTTTCAGTTTTTTGGTCTGGAGGCCTGGGGGATGTTAGCTTCCTGATTAGGGATCAAAACCAAACCCCACGCATTGGAAGATGAGCTCTTACCATTGGACCCCCAGGGAGGTCCTGAGGTCTATTTTAAAACGGAAAGAAAGCAGAACACAAAGTCCATGCAGCTCTATCACAAGTCTCTGTATCCCTCAGACCCTGCTACTTCTTTGGACCCCGGAGATTCCTAAGTACCCTTACCTGCATCTCTGTGTTGAGGACTTTCAGAACTGGGAGGGCTGGACCACCCACCCCCTCAGAAAGACAAATTTAAGAGAATTAACCCCCGTTCTTGTTTGGGAAATCCCATGGACAGAGAAGCCTGGCAGGCTACCGCCCATGGGGTTGCGAGAGTCGGACACAGCTGAGCGGCTAATCCGCCACCACCACCGCGGCTCTTGCAGTGCCCAGGTGGGAAGAGCTGGTGTCGAAGTAGCCCAGCTCCCCTGCTCCTGGGTAGATAACCTGAGGTATGTTTCCTGGAGCTTCCAGAGGGATTAAGTTGCAGTTACCCATGGAGGTTACTTAACACATTTTTACCAGCTGCTTTCCTGTCTGATCTCCCCCTGCCTCACCTGCACTTCTGGTACCTCCCAGACAAGCTCCTTGCATTGAATCAAGGTCTGCTGCTGCTAAGTCACTTCAGTCGTGTCCGACTCTGCGCAACCCCAGAGACGGCAGCCCACCAGGCTCCGCCATCCCTGGGATTCTCCAG